TGTTGGTGCCATAAAATCAATAATGTCTTTTTTTTTCCACAGGAAGCCTTACAATCAATCAATCAAACAATAGATATAGTGATGTCTTGTGCCTGGACCAGTCAAGTGTTAAGTTAGGTCTTATTGGAATGGACGAGGTAAGCTCATACTAGTAATAAAGTGTTGTTTTGTCATATTATTATGTCATATATTTATGTATAATTTAACTACTATGAACAATTCCACACAAAATAAGTCATTCCCACCACAATATGTGCCTGTGTGGATGTCCTTCAATGCAAGGCTATTCTTAACAACACATATCCATATTGCTTATTTAAACCAGAACATATGTGAAATTTTAAATAAAAAAATAACAGTGTTGACCTTAAATACAAATATTGTGCTGAGGAAGAACTAAGACTTCTTTCTTTTTGATGACATTAGCTTCATAATAGGGAAGCACATTTAATTGAGGCACAGGTGGTGATGATTATAACTCTATAATTCTCTTTTATATTATAAAACTAGAACTTGCAGGGCAACTGAGGATCACCCAGGGGATGGGGATTCTGCTGTGATTTGGAGCACATGCTTACTATGGATGAAAACCAACTGCCACTCTGTTAGTGACCTGAAAGTTTCTTGTATTTAAAAAATATCTAGACTGTTATATGCATTCTGTGCTGGTTAGTGGAGAATCTTATTTTTTTTTAATGGGGTTAAATGTTATTCTTCAGAACATGCTGAGAAAACCTTTTATTTTTTTTTCCTTAGAAAGCTGGCCAAAATATGTATACGTATCTTGAAAAAGCACAATAACCTTCTATCATGGCTACAATTTTCACAAGATTGCACAATTTTTCATATGTTGAGCTTAGTAAGCCTAGAAAATGGCACTTCTTACATTATTTAAAATTATTACTTGTTTGTCGGACTATCAATAATTATAGGAGCAACAAAACATCTTGAACAATCTGAAAGGTATGCCAGTGTGTGTTTATGGTATGGCCATGTGACAGACCTGCCTAAAATACAAAATACACTACAATTTTCTGAACAACTCAATCAGATCTTAGAAGAAGAGCTGCAAACACCTGTTTCCTTGTTTAGGTTCCATAAAGAATGCTCACTGTGGTCTACAAACCACTGCAATATGAATCCTGGAAAACAAGTTGAAATGTTGTTGACTTTTAATGCCAAATTTACTCTTCATGCCATCAATATTCATCACTGATATTGAGATGAGATGAGTCCACAGCTGTAAACATTTTCATTTGAATTCAACAATAGAAGAGAAGAAGCAGTGGATTACTGATGTTAGCACATGAAGACCAGAAAAACACAACGAGCATGTGTGGAATTTCTACCATACTGGTACAGTTTAGTATGGTAGAAATTCAACATGTGTGAAAGCTGGGCAATGAAAAAGCAAAATAGGAATAAGATGAATCCTTTGAAGTTTGGGGTTGGTGATGAATTATAATAACATGGACAGCAAGCAAAATAAACTAATAAAGATGGACTTTTTACTGGGAGTCAAGACGACTAGACTGAAGCTGTCTTATTTTGGACACATTATGAGAAAAAACAGTAGAAAAAAAACATTAAAGTTTGGAAAAGTTGAAGGGAAAGTAAGAAGAGGACTACCATCAAAGAGATTGTTGAATGCAGTCACAGAAAGTAGAACATGCTGTTGCGAAGACTAAAAACCCAAACTGAAGACAGATCATTTTGAAGAAACAATATCCATGTGATTGCCCCAAGTTGACTTGATGGCGGTTAATTGTAATAGGAAACGATTTCCTTAGAGCATGATAGCACATGGCTGGACTAGGGCACAAATGTAGGGGTCGAGTTACTAAAGGTGCATAGGTTGCTCACTTTGCAAATGAAGTTGCACATCGCAAGGGAATTTTTTCCTAGAGCTTAGTGAATGTGGTGAAATTTCACTCTGCAAAGAATACCCAAATTTGCGCAAGGAAACTAAAAAAAAAGCATTTTTGCTTGTACATTATTAAATGAAGGAAGTCAGCAAAGCCTCAATCACTAATCTCTGAGAAAAATTACCTTGCAAAGTGCAACTTCCCTTGCAAAGTGAGCAGTCTCTTTGTCTTTAGTAAATAAACTCCATAATGCTATGCTTAGGGAGCTTGACAGCTGTAGGTATACTTTTGTTAAACATCGATTGGTTTCAGACAATATAGTAAAGGTCATTGTGACTAGATTTTAAAATAAATCTATAACTCTAGAAATCAAGACTTTATTTCTAATAAATATACAAGATGTTTTATTCCAAAGATAACACAATGTATTTAACATATTCTTTCCTAAAATAAAACATGTTTCATTTTTGAACAAAAAAAAATCATGGGTTTTGGTTTTCTGTAAACTTAAAATTTTTTAATTACACAGAGAAGAAAAATACATTCAGATTTCAGATTACTGGCTTTACATGCAAATCATTTTTTTCATGCTGTAACAGCAGCAACTTACTTATTTCTCTTTTTTTTGTTGTGTATTTTCAGCAAAATAGTCATCCAACCTCTTTTTTGTCCACATAACATTTTGAGAAATAAGCATTACTAGTCTAGAAACCAGATTTTTGTCAGATGGTTTTTGTAATGTGACTGTGGTGTAATCTTTTTAATGCAGTTATTTCAGCAATTACTGAATAATAGGCTATTTTTTAAAATTGTTAAACATGTTTCATTTTTTCAACATAAAAGAACTTCTATAACCATGTTATTACGATATCACTTGCAGAGACGTTGTCAGTAATGATATCTAATTTAAAAAAAATTACACTTTTAAAAATAAAGAAAAGAAAACACCAGATAAAATCATTGCTCCTAATTTTGAAGTTACAAATATGGAACAATAAAGGTTTGTTTTTTGTTAGGGTTCCAACATTTTAAAGCACATTTTTAAATATGTTGCAAAATATGGAGATATAAATAAATGAGCAATGATAAAAATATGTAATGGGAGAAAAAAAGCACACGGTCAAAACAGCACACAGGACACATTTATTAAGTATGAAGAACTAAATCAAAATTTCAGTGATTCAAATATATTCGATAACAATGTTTATGTATCAAAATCATTTCTACAGCAGGGTTTCCTGTGACAGGGTTTCTTGTGATAAAACCCTACATTAAGGTAGATCGTGGGGTATCAACTATGTACAGGCATTGGACAAAAATTATGGAAACACCAGGTAAATGAACAAAATCGTTATCTAAGATGGTGATGGCCACCCTTTGGCTTTAAAGATGGCCTGAATTCTCCTGGGAATCGACAAATATAAGTCTTGGATGGTGGATAATGGAATAGTATACCACTCTTTATGCCAGAGGTGGAAAATGAGCCCGAACTTTGTTCTCCAAAAACTGCCCATAGTGGCTCTATGATATTGAAGTCCGGTGAAGAAAGGTTGTGAGACTTCACCTGCGTGCTTGTCAAACCACAATTTGACAACAACTAGCTGTGAGAGCATTGTCGTCTTGGTAAATGGCGCTGTCTTTGGGGAAACAATGTCTGCACCATGGGGTGCAAATGTTCGGCCAAGATTTGCACATAGACTCTGGCAGTAATTATGCCTTTCAAGGTGATGATGGGGCCTGCAAAATATAAAGATATGGCTGCCCAAACCATTGTTGCGCCGCTACCATGCTTTACCATTGTCACATGTTATTGCGTTCGGTGGTTTGGAACAGTGTGAAGCTCGATTCATTGGACCCATATCACAGTCTCCCTGTCAGGGCTCCCAGGTTGTGACCAGAGGTGTGTGGCTGACGCAGGGAAAAGCAGACCTCAGATATGTTATAAACAATATAATTTATTAACACTAACAATACAAACATAAACGCAGTGCAATACTAAAACATAATACAGTGCAACCAAACCAAACCAAACCAACCACCCACAGATAACAGTACATACAAGCAAGCGTCGTCAGGCAGGCCGGGTCAATATCAATAGGGCAGGTAGGTACAGGGGAGCAAGCGGAGATTGGTCGGGGGGTCACAGGCCAGGTTCAGCAGGTAGCAAGCAGCGTAGTACAGAGGGTAAGGCAGAGGGATGGTCAGGTCACAAGCCAGGGATCAGAACAGGTAGCAAGCAGCGTAGTACAGAGGGTCAGGCAGAGGGATGGTCAGGGTCACAAGCCAGGGATCAGAACAGGTAGCAAGCAGCGTAGTACAGAGGGTCAGGCAGAGGGATGGTCAGACAAGCCAGGGATCAGAGCAGGGTCAGCAGAGAATCAGACAGGAACAGAGAGCAGGAACAGGATACAGGGCCCAAGAGAACACAACACCAAGGCAGAGTCTGCAAGTCTGGCCATCCCTTAAATACCCCAGCATAATCAGTTCCAGGTGTTAGCTGGCTGCAAAGTTGAGTCTCTGATTGCTGGGAGCACCCGCTGGCCAGCCCTGGTACTGCAGATCAAAAGGCAGGTGAGTCCCATCATTGCTGGCTAGTCCATTCCTGACAGTACCCCCCCCTCAAGGAGCGGCCTCAGGATGCTCCAAACAGTCCTAGCTGGGCAAAATGTTCCACCGCCCGGGTCTGGTAACTGGCGGGATATCAAAGACTGGCACACCGGGCAGGACTCCGGGCAGCGGCACACCGGGCAGAGGCACATTGGGCAAAGGACACCGGGCAGAGGCACATTCGGGCCGGACTCCGGGCAGAGGCACATCGGGCCGGAGAGGCTCATCGGGCACTCCGGGCAGAGGCCACATCGGGCCGGACTCCGGGCAGAGGCACATCGGGCCGGACTCCGGGCAGAGGACAATCGGGCCGGACTCCGGGCAGAGGCACATCGGGCCGGACTCCGGGCAGAGGGCACATCGGGCCGGACTCCGGGCGCAGAGGCACATCGGGGATTACCAGGCGAAGCAGCAGGCAGCGGGCCACTAGGGTGGAGCTGCAGCAGGCACCGGGCCCCCGGGCGGGGCGGCAGGCTCCGGGCCCCCGGGCGGGGCGGCAGGCACCGGGCCCCCGGGTGGGGGGACAGGCACCGGGCCCCCGGGCGGGGCGACAGGCACCGGGCCCCCGGGCGGGGGCGACAGGCACCGGCCCCCAGGCGGGGTGACAGGCACCGGGCCCCCCAGGCGGGGCGACAGGCACCGGGCCCCCAGGAGGGGCGACAGGCATCGGGCCCCCAGGCGGGGGCAACAGGCATCGGGCCCCCAGGCGGGGCGACAGGTCTCGGGCCCTCAGGCGGAGCGGCGGGCCGGGCCCCCAGGCGGAGCGCTGACAGGTCTCGGGCCCCAGGCGTGAGAAGCGACAGGTCTCGGGCCCCCAGGCGGAGCGACAGGTCTCGGGCCCCCAGGCGGAGCGGCGGGCACCGGACCCCAGGTGGAGCGACAGGTCTCGGGCCCTCAGGCGGAGCGGCGGGCGCCGGACCCCCAGGTGGAGCGACAGGTCTCGGGCCCTCAGGCAGAGCGGCGGGCGCCGGACCCCCAGGTGGATGTAGCGACAGGTCTCGGGCCCCCAGGTGGAGCGACAGTTCTCGGGCCCTCAGGCGGAGCGGGCGGGCGCCGGACCCCAGGTGGAGCGACAGGTCTCGGGCCCCCAGGCGGAGCGACAGGTCTCGGGCCCTCAGGCGGAGCGACAGGTCTCGGGCCCTCAGGCGGAGCGGCGGGCGCCGGACCCCCAGATGGAGCGAGGACAGGTCTCGGGCCCTCAGGCGGAGCGACAGGTCTCGGGCCCCCAGGCGAAGCGGCGGGGCACCGAGTCACCAGGCAAGACTGCGGCACAGAGGTCAACTGGCAGAACAGAACAGCGGGCACCGAGTCGTCTGGCAAGACTGCGGGCACCGAGTCGTCTGGCAAGACTGCGGGCACCGAGTCGTCTGGCAAGACTGCGGGCACCGAGTCAACTGGCGGAACAGCGGGCATCGAGTCAACTGGCGGGAACTGCGGGCACCGAGTCAACTGGCAAGACTGCGGGCATCGAGTCAACTGGCGGAACAGCGGGCACCGAGTGTTCTGGCAAGACTGCGGGCACCGAGTCGTCTGGCAAGACTGCGGGCACCGAGTCGTCTGGCAGACTGCGGGCACCGAGTCGTCTGGCAAGACTGCGGGCACCGAGTCGTCTGGCAAGACTGCGGGCACGATAGTCAACTGGCGGAACAGAAGGCATAGAGTCAACTGGCAAGACTGCGGCACCGAGTCGTCTGGCAAGACTGCGGGCACCGAGTCGTCTTGGCAAGACTGCGGGCACCGAGTCGACTGGCGGAACAGCGGGCACCGAGTCGACTGGCGGAAACGCAGCGGGCACCGAGTCGTCTGGCAAGACAGTGGGCTCCGAGTCAACAGGCACGACAGTGGGCACCGGGTCATCAGGTATCGGATTGTCTGGCTCGACAGCGGGCATCGGGTCACCAGGTATGACAGCGGGCACTGGGTCACCAGGCATCAGGTCATTTGGCTTGCCAGCGGGCACCGCGTCATCTGGCAAGGCAGTGGGCACCGGGTCACCAGGTATGACAGCGGGCTCTGAGTCAATTGGCACGACAGCGGGCACTGGATCAGGTACCAGGATCATCTGGATCAACAGCGGGCATCGAGTCAACTGGCCTAATAGGATCGTCGGGCTGGATCAGTTCATCATGCTGAGTAGCGGCATCAGGCTGAATGCAGGCATCAGGCTGAGGAGAGGCATCAGGCTGAGGAGAGGCATCAGGCTGAGGAGAGGCATCAGGCTGAGGAGAGGCATCCGGCTGAGGAGAGGCATCGGCTGAGGAGAGGCATCCGGCTGAAGAGAGGCATCCGGCTGAAGAGAGGCATCCGGCTGAAGAGAGGCATCCGGCTGAAGAGAGGCATCCGGCTGAGGAGAGGCATCCGGCTGAGGAGAGGCATCCGGCTGAAGGAGGCATCCGGCTGAAGAGAGGCATCAGGCTGAAGAGAGGCATCAGGCTGAGTAGAGGCTTCAGGCTGAGTAGAGGCTTCAGGCTGAGTCACGGAAGGCAGGTTCCCCGGTTTGGATACTGGCAGGATGGTATTGGTTGGAAAGAATTTTCGCTTTTTTCTGGTTTTAACTACTGGAGCACTGCAAGTAAACGCAGGTCTGCAAACGAATGAGCAGCAGCTGGAGACAGAGAAAAACTGGAGGATGGAACAGGAGAGGGAGGTTAGCAGTTGCTACAGGGGGCTTTTTTACAGGGTTAAAGGCTGGATAGGTGCAGCGAGTGGGAACAGGGTACTGACATGCGGTAGATAGCCAAGTATACTGGGCTGTAACTGGAGGAGCTGGTGGGAATACAGGAGTAGAGTTAGAAGCAGGACTGGGTTTTTGTAAGCTGACTGAGGCTGGGTGCAACAAATCTGTCCATGTCTGCAGTATGGGTTTGAACAAAGCTGAGCTTACACAAAGCCTGTCTGACTAAAGACTGCACTGCGTTTATACAATCTCTTAGTATCTGTGGTGAACATGTGGAATAACGCTCCAGAAAGTAACCCACATCATCCTCTAATAACCACCACACCAGGGACTCTACCTGGTCTGCACTAAATGGTGGCAAAAAATTCATCCCTGCATTCGGGGGAACCAGATGAAACCAACTCAGCACAAACCTCAATCAAAGGCTGCACCTCAGAGAACTCTGTGCCCTGATCTACTAGAACATGAGCGAGCCGTATACATTCTAGTAGTTGATCCCTGGGATACTCCTTCAGAGTTTGATAAGCATACTCCCTGTCATCAAACACCCAGCAGATATAAATACACAACCTCATCCAGATCCATCCTTCCCAGCAACAAGCCAAGATGGCTTCCCTGTGCAGCCACTTCTGGTCAGGATTGGCCTTGCCTTGGTGTAATGTCAGGGCTCCCAGGTGTGACAGAGGTGTGTGGCTGACGCAGGGAAACGCAGACCTCAGATATGTTATAAACAATATAATTTATTAACACTAACAATACAAACATAAAGGCAGAGCAATACTAAAAAACATAATACAGTGCAACCAAACCAAACCAAACCAACCACCCACAGATAACAGTACATACAAGCAAGCGTCGTCAGGCAGGCCGGGTCAATATCAATAGGGCAGGTAGGTACAGGGGGAGCAAGCGGAGATTGGTCGGGGTCACAGGCCAGGTTCAGCAGGTAGCAAGCAGCGTAGTACAGAGGGTAAGGCAGAGGGATGGTCAGGGTCACAAGCCAGGGATCAGAACAGGTAGCAAGCAGCGTAGTACAGAGGGTCAGGCAGAGGGATGGTCAGGGTCACAAGCCAGGGATCAGAACAGGTAGCAAGCAGCGTAGTACAGAGGGTCAGGCAGAGGGATGGTCAGACAAGCCAGGGATCAGAGCAGGGTCAGCAGAGAATCAGACAGGAACAGAGAGCAGGAACAGGATACAGGGCCCAAGAGAACACAACACCAAGGCAGAGTCTGCAAGTCTGGCCATCCCTTAAATACCCCAGCATAATCAGTTCCAGGTGTTAGCTGGCTGCAAAGTTGAGTCTCTGATTGCTGGGAGCACCCGCTGGCCAGCCCTGGTACTGCAGATCAAAAGGCAGGTGAGAGTCCCACCATTGCTGGCTAGTCCATTCCTGACACTCCCCATTGATCAAATCGATAGTCCATGATTTATGGGTGTTGCACTACTCTCTCCTCTTCTGAGCATTAATATGGTCACTAGTGGTTTGGCAATTGCAGATCACACGTGAATGTTTTGCTTATGGAGTTCCCTCCACACAGTTTTTTGTGGACACACGCTTTGGAGATTGAGCTCTGCAGTCACTTTTGCAGCAGTTGTTTTCTTATTTCTGGGGCACAATCTTGCGCAATGTTCTTTTGTCTCTTTCGGTCAGTTGATCATTCTGAAAACGCTTCTGCTTATCAGACAACGTTTTCCTGTAAACTATGCCGTCATAACTTTTAAAACTGTACCTCGCTACACCACAAAGAAATTGGCAACTTCAGTCACAGGGGAACCAGCTAGGTGGGCACCAACCATTTGTCCTTTTGAAACTCACTAAGCTCTGATATGACTCCGTATTACTAGCAGTGCATGCAGTGAATGACAAAAGTGAGGGTCCCACCTGTTAGCTAGGTTTCTCATCACACAGCGGAAGCAAAAGAACACTCCTACTAGGAGTTACATCACTCTTACTTTCAATGTGAAAACATGTCACAAGCACTGGGGCCAATACATTACTAGAGTGCTACATAGCTCTCTCTTAAACTTGTATGCTTTTCTATCAAAATAGAAGGTGGTTGGAATTTTTGAACCTGGACAATTCAACTGTATCCTACACATAGTATGCAATAAAGCTCTAGAGATTCCTAAATGGATGGAATTGTAACACTATTATGTTTATTTGTACTGTTAGGATACAGATAGACAGAAGACATGATTCACCAAATATTTAATATTTTTATGCTCAAAAGTCATTAGTCCATCAAGCTTAACCGTTAAAAAAATACCCTACACCCACAAACCGCTACAGAGAAAAAAAAACTAAAGAACAGTCCAAAATGCTTCAGGAGGGGAAATGTAACCACATCCACTTCCCTGATCCTCCAGAAGGCAACCAGACACTCCCTGGACCAACAATCCCTAGTGTTATTACTTATAAATGTTAATCACCAGTTATATTTTCTGCCTTTAGAAAGGTATTCTGCTCTTTTTTCAAACAATCTACTGAGCTGGTCATACCTAGTTCTTGAGAGAGTATTTTCTATATTCACTAATGCATGATTCATATTAGGTTTATTAGTGGCTTGCAACTCAGACAAAATGGGGTTGATTTACTAAAGGGACTGTTTACTTTGCAAGGGAGATTGCACTTTGCAGGGAAATTTACCCCAGAGCTCAGTGAATGAGGGGAAGCTCTGCTGACTTTCATCCTCCAGTCACGTGCAAGCAAAATGCTTATTTTTTAAATGTTATATTCCTTGCAGGTGATTGGGTAGTCTGTGCAAAGAGATCTTTTGCCACATTCATTAAGCTCTGGGAAAAAGGGCCCTTGCAAAGTGTAACTTTCCCTTGCAGAGTCAAACATCCTATTTTCCTTTAGCAAATTAACTTCAATATGTTTAACTCATCTAATATATAACATTATAGCAGTTGCCATTTCACTTTATAATAAAGGTTCTATTGGAGAGTCAAAGAAGTTATTGGTCTTGCATTACAAATGTTTACTTGCGTACAAGTTACCTAGAGTGGCGTAAAGTATACTTCACACATGTAATTTTAGCAAACACTTTCAGGTGCAAAAAAGATGACACCAGCCAAAGCTGTATAATGCATCAAGTAATCATTGTTGCTTTTAGGACAGTAATGCATGCAGAAAGCAATATACATTGTCTTTCAAATAGGAATGAAGTCCCAAACACTGATAATGCCATCACTTATATCTCCCCCTTTTAAAAGGTAATCTTTCTCAAGAGAAATTTGCAGGATGCGATTGCTGACCTGGCTGTCATGCTGATGCAGTGGCTTCAGTACTTTTATTTTGTCACTGAATCATAACAAGTATAGAGATACAGAATTCTAACTTTTATTGACCTTCCCTTACTGTCTGCTTGTTTCAGTTCACTGAATTGATAGTATAGAAAACTAGGCAGACATCATAGCATTATGTGGAAGAGGCTAGCTTTGCCAGCCTCAGTTCTTTCTTGACAGGCATACTTAAAACAATTAAGATGATAGATACATGTATGAAATAATAGAATTCCTAATTGTGTCGTTATATTTGATTACAATTATACCATTTTGCATGTGTTCTTTTTTTTACTTTAGTTTTGATTATGATATGGGATGGCCAGGGTAAGGTGACGAAGTGAATTAACCATTATTTCCAAAGATCATTGTAAAATATATAACATTTAGAATTAATTCTCTAAAAAATACCTACTAAGGACATTTGCAAAATATACTGTCCATTTCCTTTTATTTGCATAGCATGTGATGTGGTATTGGTTATGGTCTTTGCTATTCTGCACTGTTAAAGGATATACGCACATGGAAATTCATATGAAATAAATAATCAATCTGCTATTTTAAAATATATACTGCAATTATTATGTTGAGCCTCCTTCCAAGATTGCATGCATAGGTGCACTGACAGGCCCGTCATTAGCAGCCTTAAAACATTGCAGTCTAAATTTGTTTGTGACCTGATAGTTTTCTTTAAAATTCAGATTTTCTCATGTGTGTCCATCAGTGAATCTGTTCACAGAATTTTCAGTTAAAAGTAGGTAGCATTCAGCCTTATAATTGCTTATTTTTATGTGGACAGGTATGATTGTTAGTTTCATTGTTCTAACTCAACAGTATATTTTGCTATTAGAGTGCAAAATGAAACATGCTCAGCAACCATGACATTGCACCAAGTTTTGCTCCAGTGTGACCATGTAATCAAAGTCCCAGCAGCAAACTGCTATTATGCCACATTGCCAAAATAGCATAGCATTTCAAACTTTGCATACAATAATAAACACTAGCAGACCTTTGGCATTGCGTGGTTCTTTCTTCTTTATGAAACTCAAGTACTCATAGGAGATGTCCATAGGAATATAATTACTGGAGCAAAACATGTCTGCAACGCATTTTGAAGCAGCACTGGAAAG